CATTTAGCTTAAAGTACATGTAATTGTTCTTTTTGTCTGCAGATTGCGATCGTCTCTTGATTACGCATTAAGTTTTTGCAGTGTGCGTCCAAAGGGAGAGAAACCAGCAATTATGAATGCTGGTTTCTAGCCTGCAAGTGATGATATCATTTGGAATAACATAGCTTAATGGTTTTGCAGTGGCAAAAATGAGCAATTACATTTCATGCTAAGAGATAGGTTAATTACACAGTTTGACGGAAAATAACCTCTTAAGAGAATTGTTGATGGTCCTCATAATGATAGCCGTGATGATTTGTTTTCTTTATATTTCTCATTTTTGGAGGGATAAATATAAATCTTTTCATTTTGTATATGAACGTGTTTCCCCCTCTGTTTTGTACAGCTGAAAACAAATGTTTTGTGACAAAGAAGGCTGGTTAAAATGTTTTAAGCAGAAGTAATTTTTATAATGCATGCTAAGCTAAAACATATTTGTATTGATGTGTTAGAAATAACCTAATTATTATTTAAAACTCTAAAAGGAATGAGTTTTATAAGACAGCACGTATAATAAGTGCTACGTAAAAGTTTCAAATGTTAATATTAAAAAATAAGTTGTATAAAAAATATTATATATTAAAAACATTACACATATATATTAAATATTATATATATTAAAATAATATAAATGTATTTTATAAATGGGAAAATATTTAAAATTTGTGATAGTGTTATCTCAAATGTATTATTTTCATTAATATTTATAAGTAAAAAATCGAGAGGTTTAAAATTCTATGACTCCGATAAAGAACTGGGATCGAATTGAAATTAATTCTATAAATTTTAATTTTTTTAAAAGATTTTTAGTAAAAATTTTGCAACATAGCATTTTTACTTCCCCTAGAAATTTTTCCGGATACTATATTTATTCAGTACGAGACACTTTTATAAATTATGAAACAGCTGTTACTAACATATGTGTTTATTAAAAAGCAATTTCATTAAAAATCCATAACAATTTATTATAATATATTACGCGCATTTTTAATATATTTTATCTACCTTTATTGACTGTAACGATTCAAAGGATCAATTTAAAAGTTATTTACTTTTTATATTTGATTATGTGTTGCTTTTTTGACGCGTATCGAAAATTAATGATTCCTACAATTCGAATTAGAGATTCGAAGCTATTCAATGATTCTTAAAATTGTCCGTGACTTAATAGGGGTCATCTAACGTTATACTAATGAGCCCTAGTACTCCGAGTGAAAGTCTTTGGTTTAAAGCATTTTCATGGTTAAATATAGCTTCGATCATAAGGTCAATGATTTATCCTTGGGAAAGTTGAATGTAAAGAGCTTTTACTACTAAGGCTCCCTTCGCACCAAACGATTCCCACTCTGTAGCGATCATTCCAATTCACAACGTTTCGGAATGAATCGAGATTGGCCGTCATGGGTCAATCACTCTTCCATCAGTTGCTGTCGAACATGGATGCTGTTTTTAATGTTTTAAGACGATTAACGTTTCAAGCTATTTATTTCACACAACTGCATCCTATTAATTTATTTTCAAATTGAAATACATAAAGAAAAAATATAAGAACGGTTTCATTTATTTACTTTTTTAATATTTTGCCTGTTAGTATCAAGTGTAATTATAGTCTGAAAAGTAGCAACAAATAATAAATATGTTTCTTTTATATTATAATGCGATTACTTTTACAAGTAATATATCTAATGTTTTTAAAAGGCATTTCAAATGTTGTTATATACTACAGCTTTTGTAGCATATAACAACTATTTTTTTGATTATATATTTAAAAATGGTTTTCTAATACATTAATGAATTAAAAATTGTATATGCCATTTACTTTTTGTTTGTTTCATATAACAAAATTTGAGATCTATGTAGTAATAAAATGGAATACTTTTAAAAAATTAAAATTATCAACAATATTGGTGTTTTATTTTATTTTAGCATTCTTATAAATATTTAATTTTTTCTCTCCCAAAATTAATAAATTCTTATCAAGTTGATCTCTGAAGCTATTTCAAACATCCTTCAGAATCAGTGGCGCACACAAGGTGTATTAGGGTCCGCCCCCCAAAGCCTTTGATTTTTTCCCGATTGATTATAATTTTAAGTATATAATATATAAAATTTAATTAAATATTTCTTTTAATGATTAATTTTATTAATTAATACTAATTATTTATTCAATAATTAGTTTTTTACTGTTTTTTGTCCCCCAAATCGACAAAATCAAAAGGAGCATGATACAAGAATGGTGGCCTTTCGACCCTGGACCCCCCTGGAAAACTTCTGTGTGCGCTACTGTTCAGAATATCCCCCTCTCCCAAAAAAAACACATTTTGCTTTAAAGTATTATTAAGTAAAGAATTAAGTTTTCAAATTTCTAAAATTGAATAAAAAAATAATACACGTAAAATTAATTTTATTCTTTATGCAAGATTAGCAGAGATAAAATACAGCCTGCACACTCGGTGACAAGAGCTAGAGTTAGTTTACATAATGAAAAAGAATACTATGAATACCACACACAAAAGTATAAGCACCCTCTACTGACATAAAAACAAACTCATCCTAACCAAACTTTACAAGAAAATCATTATCTTCAAACATCTGAAATCATTTTCTTTAATAGAAACTTTATGTGATATAATCACTAATAACATAAAAAACAATAAAAATCAACAATCTATTTGTTTGAGTTCACTTTTTCTTTAAGAAATTGCTCCCAGCTGCTGGTGAATGAGTGAAGAAAATCTGACCTGCCGAATCACGGGTGAATGAGAATGACGGCGGATTGAACCGGTTTCGTTTGGTGTGAAGGCGAGAAGCGAATCTTGGCTTATTTGAGCGGGAAATTGCGAAGCCAAATCCTGGTCGATCAGAGAAGTTTAAAGGTGAATTAATCGGAATCATTTGGTGTGAAGGGAGCCTAAGAAATAACCGAGGCAAGCTTTAAAGATTGTGTAGGTTCATTCATACTATTTGATATCTTACTTTATAGGAATATACTGTTTTTTGCACATTTAAGTCACTTTTTCCATTCCCCCACTCATTCGACATGCAAAACATGAGAATTCACAAAATAAAGTTAATGAATACAACTTGTTAAATTTTTAGCTTTGTGTATCGATGAAACAAAAAAAAAAATGTTAGTAAATGACATGAAGTAAGCTTCTTTGGACCAACATTAATTTATAAACAGAGAGTTTTTCAATCACATAATATATTAACAATTTGAAAAAAAAGAGCAGTGTAACGAATGAAATTTTAAAAAATTATTGTGTTCTCTTCTGTTATAATAATCAAACCAAATGCTACACCTCAAATATAATTTTTACTTACTTGTAACTAAAAGGGAAAGTAAAGTACTTTTACTTTTGTAAGGATAATTTAATAAATAAAAATGAAAAATAATGTGATAAAAAATGTTTGCGATTTTCTTGGTGGCTACACAGTAAATCATGGAAAAGTCATGCAACCTCCCATATGCTACGAAGTATTTATGAAATCGAACCTCCATATAACGAACTTTTATTTTATGAATTTCTCTATTTTGCAAACTTTTTCCTGGAACCAAGAACATTTTACTATTTTCTTCGTAAAATAACCTTCAAATAGCGAAGTGCATTTTTAATTTAACGAACTTTTTCTCTAGTGATTCTATTTTTTTTTCTGCCTATTTTTAAAACATTTCAGGTTGTTTTTCAAATGATTCTTTTTTTAGCACATTTTATGGTAATCAATCACTGAACTGGTTTTACTAGGTAACTAACTCCCCTAAAGCAATGAAATTGCCGTAATTTTTCACACACACACAAACAATTCAAGTAAAACTAAAACAGACTTTATTAGTAAATAAATTTCTAAGGACGCATGTGGTATTGTATGCTTAGTTACTGGTTTTAAAATTACTTGTAGGCTTATAATTAGAAAATATCGTTAAAAAATTCATTAATCATTAAATCAAATTATGTTTTAAAGTTGAAAGTACAGTGTATTCCTCGGCAATGCTCCCCTTGCTTTCCTTACAGATTTCATTTGGGTGGGTAAGGTATATGAAATAACTAAATATTAATTTTCAAAAAAAAAAACCCGTGTAATTACTTTTTTAAAATAATACATAGTGTTTGTGAATTTAAAATTTGTTTTATGTGGTTTCTAAAGTATATTAAACGATGAATCTCTATTTAACGAATTTTCCATACAACGAACATTTTTTTTTCAGGATTTAGCGACTTCGCTAAATAGAGATCCGACTGTATTTAGTTCTAATAAATTCTGACATTGGTTTCTGATTTAGAACAAATAAAGACAGCCCTCTCCCCCAGAACAATTACTCTCATCTCTTTATTAAGAGAGACTGTTCTTTCCAAACATGGTTAGATTTAATGGATAAATAAGTAAAATCTTAAGACTTTTTGAAGAATTGCGCAACTTATCATCTGTAAAAGGGCAGGTTGGGTGCCTTTGTTTGCCGTGTTGGATAGTAGTTTCTAAAAGTTTTTTGGGCAAATTATCAAACCATGTTTAATTTATTGATGTTTTTTCCTTTGGAAAATTAGTTAAAATATATTTTTTTTTAACTATCAAGATCAATTACTTACCAAAATACTTATAAGATGTTATTTCTATTAGAAACATCAAAAATATAAAGTTACGTACCCATCAGAATCGCTAGAATTTAAATTTCTAATTATATTGACAGAAAAATTATCGGTTACTATAGTTTTTTTAAAAAAAAATTACTTAAAACCATTACATTTATTTGATAATTAAACCTGCGCAATCAGTATTCTTTAAGTAATAAATGAAATGTGAAACGGAGTTTTGAATTTAAAGACTTCTCAAATATCAAGAAATAAGAAACATTAAAAGATTTATTCCGTTCACATAAAAATTTTCAGGAAATCCTCCACATTCTTAGCAGGCCTCGTAATTTTGAATCACACACAAAATTATCCGGGAGAGAAAAACGAAACTTCCCACGCCGGGAATCGAATCCGGTCCTCCTGGGAGAGCCAGGTATCCTAACCACTAGACCACGTGGGATTTTTTTCACTCAGAAAAATAATATCTGAAATAGTGTTTTAATCACCAAATTCCGGAACTTCATCATTTGTAAGTATGATTTTTTGGAGAATATGAATAGTTTAATGTTCATCAAACTGTAATCAAAATAAATTCTTATTAAGAACTCATATCGTAAGATTCGAAAGTTTTTTTCTTTAAAATTTGATACTAGGAAAACATAGCTGCAAACAAAAAAGGTGCTACAAATTTGTCATCGACTTCAGAAAATCCACCGTTATCAAATTTCCATATTTTGATCTGGGTTCTTAAGCACATTTACCAAGCCTCTGGGGGAAGGTGATCAGCTTGTAACATTGGTAAAGAGGGACACCACTGACCGAGGGGGTGGAGTTCCTGATTAAAATACTGCAAGGAACAGCTTTAGTATCACCCACCCATCCAACTTGGCCCAACTGTATTGGGCGCCAAACCACGCCAAAGACCGTGTTTACACAGACAGGGTTAGCATCCAGTTTGCCGAGGAAACAACGTGTTTCAAAAATCTCGTTTTCACCGAAACAGAATTTTACGGGGTTCATGAGGAGGGAGTTCTAACGATGCTCTTTTCCAAATGCTAAAGAAGCAGAAAGTTGTGAAACCATTAGCCTGTGCAATAATAATAACAGCACAGTTTCCAGAGTGAGGGACGAGGACCCTGTTTCACATGTCACTCCACATAAGTAATATTAGTGTTTACATAAAAACTATTATAATGGTTAATTAATATACACTTATATCAGAGTACTGAATATTTAAGGGCATTTTTTGGAATATAGCTTAGCTACATTTTTAATATTTTTTTTTTATTTTTATATTTTTTTATATATACTTTTTAAAAAAATTTTTTGTCCTTCAAACACTTTATAACACAAATACAAAAGAAAGAAAATGTCGGCAAACCCTCTAGAGTTTATATTTAAAATTTTCCCAATCTATTTCCCTTATTATTTCAACAAATGCATTGAACATATCAACGTTTTCAGCACGGCAACTTTTTTCAAACATATACATTGCCAAGTAAAAAGAGGCATCATTTTGCCTGTTATATTGGGGATATCGTGATTTTACGTGCCTCCACGTGCTTTCAATAGTATTTGTGTGAGCACCCGTATTTGGATCGACGAAATTCAACGAATGATTGACTGTTAGATGGTTAAATCCTTCTGCAGTTAACACATCGTG